CCTTTGCAACTATTGATATAACCACTAGGCTCATCATGTTATGACAAACTATATTCCTAGCGGGAATCACGAAGCTTAATTGGTTATTTCAGTAGTTGCCAGGGCGGCCTTTTATAGTCGCCATCGGAAATGTGACTTTAAAGGCCACCCTAGCAGCAACTTAAATGACCAATCAGACTGTAGTATTTCACCCGGTAAAGCGTTTTTCCACAAAATAAAGGAATGTAGTTGTCTGTCATGTCAGTTGCTAGATTGGCCTTTACAGTCACCTAAACTAACTCTCAAATGTGAATGGGCTTGTTAGTGGCCCCGGTAACTGTTTTGCTACGGATCGTGTATATTTAATGTGATACCAAAATTAGGGAGACCTTAAAGGGCCAGCCTAGACCACCGATTAGACTATTTTATTTTGTTAAAATCTGAGTTTCCAAGCTAAACCAAGAAACTTAATTGGCTATTTCAGTCGTTCCTAAGGCTGCCTTTAAAGTCCCCCGTTGATTTTACTGTCTTAAATAAATTAAATTTAGTGTGTTATAAAGCCAAAAGTATATTTCCTTTGTTGAATTTTATTTAAAGATATAAGTCATAACTAAAAGACATTAAGCGTATTTAACTTAAGATAGTAAGAAGACAATCTTACAATTGAAACTTTCTTCACACTTCTGCTAACAAAATGGTTTCTGGAATGTACGTCATCTGTACAAATTGAAGCTCAGTTGACTTTAGGTCCCTTAAGAGTTTTCTTTATTTTACTTGAATAGTATGAATGACATTTTATTGGCAGGATGAAAGATACTGTCAAGTGAAACAGAGCTTGTAGTCATTAAACAAACGTTTAAACTTTACAGTCGACCTAAAGAGGTCTTACTTCACTTTTTCAAAGATTCTTTGATGTATGAAACTGTATCGGTGAAAAGGCATCAAAGATAAGAATAAACAAAAGTAAAATTAACCCAACCTCAATAAAAACAACTTTAAACAACCTCAACAAACTAAACAGATAAGAAACAGAATAAATAAACCGTATATATATATATATATATATATATATATATATATATATATATATATATATATATATATATATATATATGCAAGCGAGAGAATGGAGAACAGTGTGTGAAGGATGAGGAAAAATTCAACAAATCTATGACTTTTTTATTCAGTGTCCTGACTTATTTGATTATAATATCAGAAGGCTCTAGAGAATTAGTTCTCCGTCCATCCATTTTGTCTCATGCTTCTTCTAAAAGTTGTGTTTTGATATGTTTTCTCTACTCCCACAACTTCTACTTCCATTATTCCGTAGAGTTTTCTTTCGTTGCTATTTCTCCTAACAACAATCAATATTAACATATGTATATATACTTGTGTTCATTTCTGTAAACAGATATACATGTGCCTTGTTTATTTTATGTGTGTAAAGATAGATCTTGATGTTGGAATGTGACAAAAAGTGAGAATGTATCGCCATCTTGTTTACCACTTCGTTTTTGAGTTAAAAAATAAAATACGATGTTGGTTTATGTTGCTGTGATTACCATCAACGTCGTTATTGCATCATTTCTGCTGACTGTCCGCAAAAATGTCAGTGTTTGCATAGGTAAACTATCAGAAAATGAACCGGAGCTACCCTACACATTGACAACATTTACGTACATTACTTCTAAAACCAAACAAATCCTTAGGGCCATGTAGTAAAATTCAACGGTTTGAAGCAAAATATACTGCTATTGTTTCCAGCTCAACGTGAAGTGTTATATTTACATTTAAAGATCTTCCAAACTATCTTCTGAAGACTTGTTTGCTGTTTCACCACTAAGTGACTTCTATTAGTTTCTCAAACTACATTAATTCAGTTTAAATACTAGCATGTGATACCTGCATTGTGAATTTGCAAAGAATTTTTATACTCTAAAATACATCAGCTAGATTTATGTTGTTTTCTGAAGTAACTAACGTTGAGTTCAAAGTATAACGTTTATATGAGATCGAGAGATGAAGCGATAAAGACATAGTTTAGAGACTGCCTACATCTTTCTTTTGATATTTTTTGTCAAAATTAGATAAACGTGATTAAAAATGTTAGATAGCTGGAGGCAACTAGCAGGAAGCCCTGAACCTATCTTATACACTTATCAGAATTCGTCAGTAGACCACTTCTGCAGCCTCAAAGAAACTAATATTTCACAACATAAAATTGGTTGCTTTTCAGTGGCCAATGAATGAGGTTAAAATTGCTTAAGTATATTAACACTAACAACCTCATGATGCCTAACTTCTACTTTATTATCAACAGCCTTTCAAATAGCCAGTTCAATGTACCTAGCGTTAATCACTGGAGACCTGTACTGTGCTGAATAGCTGAGTCTGTGAATATTTCTGCAGTTTTACTGCTCTGTGAGTTTTTCTTCTTAGTTGTATTTTTACTGTCCGTCTGTACATGAGTTTCAGAATAAATTTGTAGGACAATGAAGCTATCTTATCATTTATAGACATTTGCGGTGGTCAAAGCAATAACAGCTGTAAAAACTATTACTTTTAACAAAATATTCATTTCTTTGAAGATAGAGTGACGTATGAGATAGAAGGAAGAAAAACTAAATAAATTCAAGTACAACATCTGAACATTTGCAATGTAGACTGAATGATTACATACCAAACAATCCGTCTTGCATCAATAGGCCAATCAAGAGGGGTGCAGTGAATCAGCTACCTTCTTGTCAGATGAAATATTACCTATAAATATTTAAGAAAGTTGAACTAGATTCGCTTTCTTATGAATATGGACTGTAGATAACCACTAGGTTTATACTGAAAACTGTACTCATTCAACCTAAAGTCGGCTGAGCAATTAAACTACCTAAACTCTTGATTATTTGCATTAACATAATGTGTAAGCCATCAAAGGGTTTATAAAAAGACTATGAAACAAACCAATAAACAAAATCATAAGAAACTTCCATTTTCACCACTGAGGAGTGATTATTCAGGAAAGCATTTGGATGAACTAACAGGAGAGGAAAGGTAACAGATACGCATTCAAGAACAGAATGTTACTGATTTTATTTAGTAATTAAAACAAAAATAATAGGTTTGGTTCTCAAATTGGTTTTCTTATATCCTGAAATTAATGAAAGACTGTGGATGTAACTAAAAGGAAGAAATTGAAAATTCGTCATATTGATGAGTTGGATAGTGTTATAAACTTGGTTCCTTGAGACATCCCTATGTGACAAGCAGATGTCAACATATTCCACAATATTAACTAAAACTGGAAGGATTTGCTTACTAACACCACTCGAATTTATGGTCTCCGCGCCACTGACTCGGTATTCTACCATCCGAGCTAAAAGACTTGAATATTTATTCAGTTGGATCTTGATTCGGAAGAAGAGATGTTGCTTGGCTGCTGGTAATACTGAAAACAGCGGTCGTCTTTATATTAACTCGATTACAGGACGAAACGCTTGGTGGATGAACTGGTTATAATCGTTTTGGGCGCTATGAGATATTTATCTGATCGATTATACGAAGTCAAGTGTAGATTTTGACCCATAGACTATTAACTTTAAATGAAGGATTTCTTGTGAAAACCAAAAAATGTTTGTTACTAAACGACCCATTACCCCGTAATTAATTTACTATAAGAGATATAAATATAAAAAATCAGTTAAGGTATACGAATTGAACGATGTTAGACACACTTGATTGGCACTTTCTTTTCGTCATACAACAATCGTGATCAAGGCTGCTGTATACGGTATCGTCTGTGCACTAGGCTGACTAAGCTACAGTGCACAATTATTAACCGGGTTTAAAATCTATTGTTTCACAAGTGATGATCGACTGCTCACGTCAGTTGCCAAGCTTGGCATTGCCACTTAAAAGTAAATTTAGCTAAAAATAGATAAAAGAAACTGGTCAGTGACAAATAGTCAAGACATATTTGGTAGTACTGATAAGTAGACTGGGCTGTATATGCATAAAATTGTCGAACAGGTTCCGAAAGACTTCAAACTAAACTTCCTCATTCTCACTTATTTTCTAATAAAACTATGAAACCTCAGTAGAAACGTTCAGTGTTTCTTCAGAAATTCATCACAAATAAACAGAGAAAACGCCAGTTGTTTTAGCATACATTATCAAAATATGTTATGTTCAGCACCTTTCCCTAATCGTATTATGCTAAGTTAAAGATTTAACACTAACTGAAACGATTTTTATATTCCTTGTTCTATTTTAAAGCAAATAACTGTACCCTTAAATAAAATAGAAATTGTGATAAGTTCAATATAATTACTGTCCACTGGAAAGTTTGATACTCAATATTTAACTAACCTTTTGGAGTAGATTTTGGGAAAATACTGAATAACTTAACGTTTTTCTTTCAAAATTTCAATATACACTTATCGTATCCTGGAGAATGTAAAACAAATGAGCAAATACTTGAAAGTTTTTATAGGCTTAAAATTGTATGGCATTCAAAGACCGAGTCATATTAGACTTAAACAATGTTTTGGTTAGCTTTATTAGTTTAGCTGGTTATGTAAGAGCAAAGTAAGAGGAACGAAATATGCAGTCAGTCGATATGAGAAACCATTTTTTAAAAACTTTCTTTACATTTTAAAATGCTTCCCATCAACTTGGAAAGCTGTGACCAAAATATAAAGAGGGAAATGACCATCTTGATTTCAAACTGTTCTACAATGAATATCACCACCACTTTAATATTTTGAGTAACACATTTTGGTATCTTTCTAAAAAACAGTTTATCGATTATCTTGATACTGTTTCCTTATCATTAGGGCTGGAATATTGAGGGATAGTTCTGCAGACCATAAGACTAGAAATGTGCGGGAATAATGAACACTTATTTAAAATTATTTTTGTTGTCAAATACTATTCATCTGATATATGTCTGTAACATGCATCTTCAAAATCTGCTATAAATCAAAAAGGTGTTTTCACCTTTAAATGTAAAAGTGAAATGCACTCACCAGTGATTGCATGAATATCAGGTATACGTTGAGCTGATAGATCCACTAATTGTATAATATCTCTAATCGCTTTGGCATCTTCATGTACTAAAGCTTTTAATGTTGACTTTGTAACACGATTGAACAATTCACGGACTTGTAACTTCATCCATACAGAACCGGCTAGACGATAAACACCAACAACATCTGAACCACGTTTATCAATTTCTTCAACACACTTTCTTATGAATAGTGGAATAAACATATAATCCGATGTGTTTTGATAAGTTATTTGTTTTGGTGAATAGAATTCAGTAATTTGACAGATGACACGTTCACGTTCTATCAACTCATCAATGGACACACCAAAGAGTAAACGATCAACACTTGTTGAATTCAGTGTAGTGGTGCTTAGCATAAGTTGATTACGATGAAATATTTTATCCAGTGGTATGTGTCCAAGCTCCAAGTATAACACACCTCTTGGTTCAAGCTGTAGAGCAATTTTATGCAAATTTTTAGACAATATAGATATAGAAGGACTGAGAATAATTTCACTTGTTGGCGTATATGATGTTGAAGCCATACTACTTGATGCAGTTAGTTTACTAAGTAAGTTTTTCAAGTCAATTCCACCGTAAAAGCATAAACGATGCTTGGTTCGCGGATCCCATTGATAAAGTAAAATAGCTAAAATCGATTGTCTTCCATATCAAGTTCGAAGACTTCATTCCATTCAAAATAACTCGTACTGGTACGTATCATAGAACGAGCCTTACGTACAGAATCCATTTCAACGACACAGTAAAGATCTCTAACTATAATGTGAGTAGAGTTTAAACCTTTTCCTGCGATAACATGTAATATAAATAAGCCATTCAAGTTATTGGATTTAGACGAACGATCAACATTTTGTAAATTCACTGTTCTAGCCGCAGTATTGGAAGTATCCCAGTTATATACAGAAGATTGTGTAGGGTGACTCTGAGCCTCAGTTGTTGATAAACAACGTTCACTTTGCAGAGTAAGAAAGTCTCCAAATCTATCTGACAGGACTTTCGTATTACCCAAAACTTGTGAATCTAAATTGGAGTAGGCTGCTTCTAGATCGGTTTGACAAGAAAGACTATTGGTGCTGTGGAAGTTCGTGTGTTACCAATTAATTGTCCAGGAGCTTTAGAAGAAATGTATGCTGATTCACTTGGATATGATGATCTGGTTCCCGCAGGATCTGTGTAAGAAAAATACATAAAACCATAAATGTTCTTAAGATAATAAAATTTTGTAAACACACGGTTATTAAATGCTTGTTATTCAGCGATATTATATTTGGCACCCCTTTTAAATATCGAATGACGTAGAGATTGTCTCCACTTGACTAATAATCTATACAAAGAAAAAAGAAATGATTTTCTGTCCAGTTTCTGGCTAGTATTATTGACAAGAAACATCAATTAAGAAACCTCAGAGAATGACAGAAAACGAAAGTACTTGTTCTACGCAAGAGAAACTGAGTAATAAGTGTCATTCAAACTTACCTTTCTGAGGTGAAATGAGATTATTTGCATTGCTCATAGAACATTCCCTACCGACAGACGTCGATGGATGCGATCCGGTTAAATAATGGCAAATTACAATTATCGATAAATTACATGCCGTACTATTTATTTGTAGTACTTTGTGCTTACAATAGTTTTCATGAGGATGATCAAATGCATTTATACCTACAGGTTCCTTAGTTTATTCATTATGAGTGCCAGAACTGTTGATAGGTTGTTCTATTCGCAGGCTGGTGGGAACAACTATAAATCCCCTAGACATTAATTTATCTTGTTAACAAGCACTTCTGACGAAATAAGCATACATCCAAACAATAAAAACTGTAGTTAAAAATAGTTCAATGCTTTTTGATGTGTTTTGTTAGTCAGTAAGACTGAGTTAAGCCACCGAAAAGACTTATGCAACATCACAGTACTTTGTTTTAGAGTGGCAAACACCTCAATGTGATCTGTCGGTCTTGCATTCTCAGGCACAAATCATCAGCTCAAGTCTGCAATCCAAAAGAATTATTATTTGCAGGTGGTTCCTGACCCGTTTCTTGAGTAATATCTCCCCGCTAAAGCCAGAAAATTCAATAAAGATTTGCTAAATATCAAATTTACTACTTTAAAATTTGGATTACTCTCGAGTTTTTCAAAAAATACTGAATAGATACCGAAGGCTAACCACTTTGGTATTGTTTAGTCATATGTACTGAACGAAACCAATTGGTCAAATATGCCCTCAAATTACCAGTTTAAGAAAATCACAACGTATCTCGGTAGCTGTCACGCGTTGGTTTGAGCACAGGTGTGTTTTCATCTTAGTGGAAGTAGAAAAATGACAGCAATAAGACCTTTGTGAGTGCAGCTGAATAATGAGAGCAATTAGACTGGTTTCAGAAAGAAACGTTTTAGACAGTTATCGAAACAAAACATCACTCATCTGGAAAGCGCCTGGAGCTATCTCCTGTCTTTTGTGAAACCAGAACTGAAGACCACAGGAAGGATTTAGAAAGGGTCAGTGAATCTCAGCAGCTTCTTCTTTAACTATTGAATGTACGCAAATGCATACTTACAGGCTCCGAGTACAACTGAAATGTAGACTGACAACAAGTCTACGCAACGATAGGCAGTGAAGGTTAAGAGATGAAAAAGGCGGCGATAAGTAACTGTAGACAGTCATTCAGACAATAAATAAACTATGAAAAAAGGTGATTGATAAGTGAGATTGCAGCAGAGAAGAATGAATCTGTAGTTCAATCCTAAAGAAAATGACTGGAACGATATGGAGAGCACTTTGAGGAACAGTTCAACTGACCTCCAACTACTATTTAGTTGGCCCACTATTCATTCAAAGCATTAGCAAAACATCCAGATAGGGCCTACAATGGTTACAGAATTCGAGAAAGTTGTTAGAAATCTGAAATAAGGAATAGCATTAAGGCCAGATGAACTAATTTCAGATTAACTGAGGTGTTAATCAGTGTATGGGAGGTAGAATGATTCCTGCAACCTGATCTCAACCACTGATGGTCTCAAGTCTTCTCAGATAACCACAGATGAGTCTACCTGACGAACATGGTGTTTACAATTTCGGGTTCTATAGTTATTGGATGTCGTAGTAGAGCTAGGGAGCAAGAGGCAGGTTTCCTACTTCGTTGTGGATTTATAGACCAGGTATTCACTCGTCATAAGTTTCTGGAACATAAGCACACTTACTGACGTCCGACATTTCTTATATTCCTCCACTTGAAAGTCATACTTGACTCCGTTGGTCGAGAGGTTATATGGAAGTGTCTCTCATTCAATGGGGGGCCAAGTAAGTACATCACTCTGTACTCCAACACTCATAGGCACACTATAGGCTATAATGAATAATCAGATGAGTTATGTACGTCAAGTGATGTTCGTCTCACCATTCTTATTTAACTTTATCATAGAGGTACTTATATAAGTCTGCCTTTCGTCTACTGGCTTTACGTGACGTTACAGGAATTGATCTTATCACAGAAAAATCCTTGATAGATATAAAGTACTCAGATAACACACCGCTGTTATGGAAACAACTGACAAGACATTAAGTTTTCTGAACACCTTGATTGTTTGGCAGGCGTTTTTGTCACCTAAAAGCAAATCGTTGTTCAACAGCTGGTCTTGTAAAGTGTCTCATGTAACAATAGAGAATAAAATGACTGGACATGCTGACCATTTCACTACTCTGGGAAGTTTGATCAGCCCTGTTGGGTCCGTAACCGGCAAAATCTTTGCATGGATAAAAAGGGTTCACCTGACTTTTTTAATTTACATCTCTTATGGCACCGCTGTGAAATCCGATTGTTTATTAAGTGTCAAGTTTACTGCACTACAGTTCTCTCTGTTCTACTATGTGGTTTTGAAACAGTTATTAAAGGCGGCCGACTTGAACCTTGAGGTACAAAAGTTTCTCACCTAACACACACTTAATGTTCTTTCCTTTCAGCTTGTTTCAATCATTCAACTATGTCTTCTAAACGTGGAATCTACTCGTGTACAGTTCTAAAATGTTTTTAGCTAGCCATTTTTCGAGTAGATGACAAAAAGAAGAAAAAATGTACATTTTGAAGGAAATGAACTTTTCGTTGTACGAAAATTTATCAAAGTTTCACTAATCTGAGGCTTAGCTTGATTGGCAGATTCTTTTATTGACTGAATAAACCGTTACCTCTAAACTTATGTTTCTATTTTCTGTACATCCTTAATTCTAGATCGGAAGCTTGTCCAATACTAGCTGACTGTTCAGTGCTATTGTCTGTAATAGTGCTGTCAACAACATCACTAGGGTACAGTAAACATTTAGATGAATATATTATTCTGGTCGTGAACTTTCTGAGAATTCCACACTGTATAAAACATGTTGTTCGGAATAAAGTGGTAATAATAATAATTATTATTAGTAAGGAAGAGGACAGCATCGCCTTCGTCGCATAGGCTGTGTATCGTGATGTCACCGCGTCAGTAATACAGAAATCAAATGTAGGATTTTGGGGAGAGGAGGAAAGTCGGTTGATGAGGTTGTGAACCTTCATCGACTACGATGGCCAGGACATATGTTACACATGCTTAGTCGTCGTCTCCCACGTCACACAATGTTGTCTGATGTCGGTACAGGGTTGAAATGGTTATAGACGACCAAACTGAAACATGGCATCATTGTATGAAGTCTTTGATTGTTGGTCTAGTTGGTGAAGGAAAATTTAGACTTTCCATTTGGGTTTCATGTAACAACAGACGCCAGTGGTTAGAGACTATGGGTGACATTGTTCATAATCATTGTCAGTGGTGTTGGTGTATCCACGCATTATCTTCATTTAGTGATTATTATGATTTCAGTTTTTGCTCATTCCTCCTCCCTACCTTTTCATTACATCCAAAAACTTTCAACCAGTTTCCGTTTTTTTTATCATTCAACTCGTACTTAATATTATTTCGCTTTAATTACATCTCGTTTCCCAGTAATTTACACTCAGCATGCTTATTTAAATGAATGTATACTTATTTACTTACGTGAATTCCTTCTTCATAATTTATACTTCTGTTTTATTAACAAAATAATCTAGCTCATGGTATCAACATAATTCAACCCCATTACTTTTTAACACATCATTTCCGCAAAGCAGTTTCCATATCTGTGAGCAACTGTACATTTTCGAAAAATAGTCACAGGAACCGCCTTTTTTCTCTGATCTCTAACTTTGCGTACCTTTAGTTGTATCTGAAACAGCCTTGAATTGACAGGTTGATTTTAATAATGCTTGAACAATGGCAATTGAAACAATAGAATAAGTCACAATAGGATTAGTATCAGTGGCTCAGCACTTTATTACCTGAGGTCTGAGGTCCGGCTCCTTATAAGGTTATAGTTACGCACATAAGGTAACAAACTGATGCAGGCAGTTTGCGATCTAAAAATCTCAAGTCAAATAAGTTTAGAAATTTAGGCATACATTCACTAGTGGTTGTTTTGAGATACTTCTTCACAGACTATTTATTAAATAAATATTTTTAATTTACTTGCCTACGCCGACAACAATCAAGTAAACGAAGCAGGTAACTGATCATTGACGTTTAAACTATGATTACTGATGAAACGAAAAAATGATTTCTTGGCAAAAGCGAAAACAATCATCAACCAATTCATGAATTGAGAAATACAAGAAGTACAAGCAAAAAAATATTCGATTGCCTTTTTTCTCGCTAGTAGTCCCAGTGAGCTGCAAAGCCAAATACTAGAACAATGAAATCGACCCACAAAAGGTAAACTCATTCATCACAGTTTTCATTAATCAGTGATTATCAACAAGCAAGCTCTAAAATGGTAGGGTAATCTGCAAAACCTGAAAACAAGAGGGAGCAATTCTCACTTTTAGAAGATTGAAAGAAAGAAGTCAGTGAATGACTGAATGGATGCGTGACTGAATCTGCATTTGTGAAACAAAACTATGTAACAACGTAAGTCAGTTATTTTCAGTAACACTCGAATACTTGACAAGCGAACACATACTGACATTTACAAATGTGAGCACAACCATACTGAGATAGAGAAATACTAAGTTTTTTCACATTTATTTCTATCTACTCACAAATAAGTGGAAATATGAATACATTTACCAAAACTTATTAATTGTAAGGTTGTACACTGTTGTCGAATTTT